CATAATAAATGTTTAATAAATATTTTGGATCAGTTGTTTTTGTATTAACTAATTTTTTCGTTCTTGTGGTAATCTCTTTGGTAAGGGAGTCTCCTCAAATCCTAAATTGACTCTAAAATGAACCTTAATTTGAAATTCACTATACTGTCTATATTCCCATGTTAGATATACTGGTTGCATTTTTTTTTTTTTTTTGGAAACCATGTGTTGGCATCACAGTTTTTGAAAATTTTCATTTATTGGGTGGATATCTACACTATTTCAACTGAATTTTCTCAAACATTGTGTTTGAATATAGTATGGGTACAGGCAATGACAGTGAAAGTATATTCTAACAAGGAATGAAAGATGAGAGCTATCTTGTGCTTTCTGTGGTGCTATCTTCTTTGTCTACGGCTTTATTTTCAAACATGGTGTTTTAATCCATGCTTTGTATACTTTATATCTGAATATTTTCCAAATTTATTTCCCTCCTTAAAGTACGTTGTATGATTTCCTGTTCCATAATAAGACTGCTCATTTGATGAGACGAGATTATATTCTGTATAAATACTGAATTCTTAGAATGCCTCTCTGTGTCAGGGTGAAATCACAGATATATTAATGGCCTACTTTTCCTATACCAAGAAAATTGATTTCCCCTTTGTTTCTAAGGAAAATCATTTTGAGGGTACTCGCCACTATGTGATGAATGGCACTATAAAAACACTTTCGGATGTCAGGAAGGAGAACTCTGGTTTAAAAATTGTTTAATCCATGCAGTGCAATTTTATTCCCTTAAAAATACATTGAGTTTTGGCATGACATTCCTATTCACTGTCTCCTTAACTTAATCCACACAACTGTGTATATGTACCATCTAATGCTCAACAAGCAGTAAGGAGGACACTACCAAATGGTGTCTTTAGTTGCTGATCACCTTATGCCTAGTCCTGTATTTTCTGGACTTGCCAAGTGTGCCTAGCAACTTATTTCCTGGTTTATATCATTTACTCCTCTACTGTCTAGCGGAACTCACATTTCAATGCCTGGGACTCTGAGATAAAATTGAGTGGGATGGTGAGTCTACTAAGATATTTGCTTAAGAATCTTAAAGAAGCCTACACATGAATGTGTTGGAACCAGATTTTAAGTGAACAAAGTGAAAACCTGCTTTTCTCTTGTGGTTATTTCAGGCTTTTCTATTTATAAAGTAACCTTCCCATATGGTTTCTCCATATAAATCTAAAATATTCCATATTGATAGAAGAATGATTTAAGCTTACTTTTCATGATACAGCACAGTAAAGAATTTGGCCTTAATTCTACTTGCTTTTTTAGTTTGTTTCAGCATGAAGGGACCACTGAAAATTCTAACAGAATTACTATATTGTGTTCATATACACAGAAACTCTATATATGCTGTGATAGTCCTAGCACATTCTATTAATTATGGAAATCACTTTCATTTCAATAGTGGAATTTACATGACAACAGCTTCTGGGGCTCAGTGGAGCATCAGACTTGCATGTCACAGAATTCCCTTGTAGTGTGGGCGTTGACAGGGTTCTGTTGACAACAAATTTGCAATGAAAATGTCTCATAATTGTGTATCCACATAGAACATTGCTCAGAAGGGATCGTTTTAATATTCACATTGGTCACCAATGTCAGAGAAGGCAATTTCCTCACTCTTACCTTAGTAAACCAAATTATTAGAAATATATAGCCATAAATGTACATATAAATGGCCTAAAAGATTTATCTATATATTTAGCAAAGATATCTGGATGAAGAGCTATCACCTTTGTATTCTTTCTTATAACTCTATTAAGATTTTATATTTTTATAAATTTTCTATTTACATGTAGACTCTAAATCAGATAAGAGGATGAACTAGTCCAGAAGGGTAGGAGGAGTTAGTAATATTATAAAACAATCAGAAAAAAATTAGGCTGAATATCAGAGCAAAGTTCTTAATAGGGGAGAATCATACTGTAAAATAGTCTAACACTCTGGAAGAAGTCATTATCTGAATCATTTAAAATTAGACTGGACTGAAGTATTCCAAAATACAATAAGACCAAGCCCACTTTACAAGTAAAAAGAGGAGGATGACCTAATAGTTTCTATCATCTCAGTGATTACTATGATTTTACTCATTTTATGTGTTCAATCTTGATAGATAACCTTCTCTCATTTTATGCTGCTTTTTGAGAACAATTTAAGAAAATTCATGTAATGCAGAATTGGATGCATTTAGCAGAGACTCAAAAGAGATGTGAATGCACAATGAACTCTGTGTAAAATAGTAAAGCGAGACAACTGAGTAAACATCTACCCTTTTTTGGAAGTTAGCACTGGAGAAAACAAGTCTCACCCCATAACTCTGGCTTTATTCCAGTGTGCATAAATGTATCCTGCTCTCCTGCTTTTTCAACAGTAATTAGATATTAGTTCTCATTTATTTTGTTGAATGGTTTCTTGGGGTGATATTTTTTTCTTTTGGTGATGTCGAGTGCAGGAAAACAAATGGAATATTTCATCCCCAAGCCAACAGGCTATATTTTGTTAGGAGGAAAAAAAAAATCTCTAGAAAGAGACCACATTTCCTTTTGTGATTGATCATTTTTATGGAATGGGCAAGAAACAGAAGATGATTTAATGGGAAAAGTTTGACATTAAAAAAAGAGGAAAATGTACCCAGAGAAGTTGTAATATGCTGTTGTGGTGAATCTTTTAAAATAAGAATGTCTTCAATTTTGTGTGCTTCTAATTGATCACCTGTCATGGAGTAGACAAGTAGGACAGGCAACCTTTTGAGAATTATCCAAATTATGTCATGCAATACATGCATTAATTTAATCTTTAATCACTTAATTTTATACTATCTTTGTATTTAACTTAATTGCAGTAACATAAAATCAGAGATGGGCTCATTTTGATATTTGATAATTGTGAAACAAATCATCTGATTTACACTTATGTACACAAACTTTTTAAAAAGTCCACCATAAGTTCAATTAACAGAGTTTATTTTCATTATTTATAATATCCATGTAGCTTTCCACATATTTTCTTCACTTACAGATGGCATATTCCTGAAGTGCAAAAAATACCATTCAACATAAATATCCTTTTCATTAAGTCCCATAATTTAGTCTATTTTGTGTGCTAGCACAGTTTTCTCTAATTTAAGGTGCACATTTTGTTAGTAAGGGTCTAGATTATAGAACTAGTGGCTTAATGCCAAAATTTGGAGTGGCAGGGCTTATTAATATTGTAAGTTTTCTTATTCATATTTTTTGTTTTTAGTCAAATGAATATAGATTTAGTCCAATGAATATAAATTTCCACTGCCTTATTTGTGAAAGTATGAATTTCAAGACTTCCTTTCCACATTTTGTATGCCAAACACCTGTGTTACTTTACACATAAATCTAGACAACCTAGGACCTGTCTATTCAAAGTATCTGTATTCCTGCTGGGCAATCAGTACCTCAAAGGATGGACAGCTCAAACCCACAGGTGGGGGAAATCTTTGTAAATATGATGCTGCACTTACAGAAAGGAAGATATCACTTTATTAATGCCTGATGTATAATGGTTTTCGGATCTTTTCAAATTCTATTTGAATGTTTTTGGGAAAAAGGCACATAGCAGTATAATAGAATCATAATGACAATTGAAGTGTCCTGAACATATTTGGTAGGAATTGTTGTCCTAAGGAGTTTAGTTAGTATAATGGTAACCCATATGTTTTCAGTAATACATATTTGAAATATACTTAGGCAAACAATAGAGTTTAGGTACCAGCTTTAATATATGATCAGATAAACAAAAACAGATTTACACTTAGGTAAATGAATAATGCTCCCAAGTGAATGCTTCTTTCATTTCTACCCAAAGAAACATAACATAGCTCTAGTGAACAGTTCTAGGTCCCAGCAACACAAAGAAATTCAAGCAAAGAAACTCCAAGTAATGAACTGTGCCTGGAGTGCTAAACTCATACTAATGTCAGCTCACAATAATCTCAACTTTGAATATGCCAATATGTAATCATCTCTATACATAACCCAAATAAATCTTTATTATTCAAGCAAGAATGGACATATTTTATAAGTAAATCTGTTGAGTACTTGACCAGAGATCTTTAGGAGTGTGTAGTTCTGTTTTCAAAATTCACAATGCTCTAAGATACTTAACAAACCATCAATCTTAAAGTATTATACCTTTGAGACTTTTTACACATTTGTTGACCCAAGGAAGAACTAGAAGCAAATTAAATGAAAATTTTAAGATCAAGCTTATTTGATATATTATTTAGTCTATTTTTGGATGGGAATCTCCCACCCTCTTAGTTATCTCACTGTCAGATAAGAAAATGGAACAGGATCCATGAAGAGATATGCTCCCAGTCTGGCTCTTTGATTTTTCATTCAAGCCAAAAGGAGCGAAGGGCAGCAAGTTAGGGCTCCTTTCCAAGCATGCTTGTGGGAGGGAGGACCTCTGACTGCCCCTGGCTGCAAAGCTTATCCCAGCAGTACCAGGTCCTGCAGACCGCTACCCACCTCGCCTGGCAACCTCCACACCCACATGAAACTGCCAGTGTGTCAGCCAGTCATCTCATGGGTTCCTGTGCACAAAGCCTAGCAAGCTCCCAAATAGAAATGAATCGTGAGCCCAGAGCAGAGCTGGAGGCGGTTGGCTTGTGAGTCTGGTGTCTCTGGGGGTCCACCAGTGCTAGTTAGTCCCTTTACCTCTTGCTCCCTGGCTGCAGATGTGTACTCTGAAATCTGCCTCCTTCCGGAGACACAGACGTGAGCCCAAACACATTTTCACTCACACACACCTACACCTCCTCTGCCCTCTACCTTTCCCATCCCCGGTATATCTATAGGGACTGGTCCGTGCTGTGCCTCTACTTTCCCAGCTGTGCCTGCCCCATACAACACCCAAGCTCCTGCGCCCTCGCTGGGCGCCCTCCAGAGGGACACATCCTCCTCTGGGCTCCTTACCTCGCACCGACAACTCCTGGCAGGAACTGGAGCTGACCACGGTGGCGGCGGTGAGCCTGCACTCGGGCTCTGGCTCATGGTTGGTCCTCTTCATCCGACACAAAAGGGGTAGCTTGCTGCCTTTGTCCTTTCCAAATCCAAGGGAGAACTTATTTTGCCCCCGAAATGGCCAACTTGTGCGTGCAGCTTCCTGTCACAGTGCCCCCTGCCCCCGCCCCCTCCTGGCTGTGAGCTGGACCATTGCCCAGCGGCAGAGCATCCAGGCCTCCGAGTCAAGGGGGAGTGGGAAAAGGGAGGGGTAGAGGAGAAAAGAGGGAGGAGGTTGGGGGAAATGGGGACCCAGTGGTCTTCTGCAGAGGGAAGGGAAGTACTTCAGAGCCCAGTTCCCCTCCTCCTCTTTACAGGCAAACCCACTTCCTAGGCGCGGAAGCAACTTTCCTTCACCTTGGACAGGCTGAAACCGTCGCAGCTAATTGGGACTCTCAGCTGAGGCATGGACCTTCTGGCATCCTTTCCTTTTCATTTGTTTCCCCCTTTACTCGTTCTCTTTTTCCCTTCTCTTCCCCCTCCCCCTTCTTCCCTCCTTTTATAGGGGTGTATCTGCAGAGTCTTCAGTGAGACAGGGTACCTAGAGAAGAGGAGGATTATAAAGAAAGCCAGGGCGGTTTTGCAGGTTGCTCTGCCTCACTGGGATTGCAATCCTTAGGCAGTGCAAGCGAAGGTCGGTGAATTTCGGAGAAGTGGGGTAAAGGGGCGTGGGGCAGTAGAGTGGGCGTCGGCTCCAACTTTGAAGCTCTGCTACAGCTCTCGGCTTGCGGGTGAGCAGGGACTAACAGTCATTCCTAGGAAGAACTCTCCTGTGGTCCCCGTGCAACTGGCTGACCGCATGCTGGAGGAGACAAGGGAAAGCAGGAGCGAGTGAGCCAGGGAGGCGGGTGCGCAGCTCTGCCCCACACGCGGCTTAACTGCACATTGGGAGCCCCGGGAGAGGGCTTTTGCAGAACAATCCCTGGGTCAGGAGGGAGGGAGACGCTCCGGTTTCCTAGCAACTCTCATCAATCTTCTCCGGATAGCTCCCTCTGAAGGAATTCGATTGGACAGCCCCAGGAGAGAAGTCACGCCCCTTCAAGAATGCTGGGCTGCTGCTTTTTCTCATTCTCCCAAATTTCTTGGGCGGAATAAGATTCTAGAGGAGTGTGAAATTATCTTCTTTTTTATGCTACTGTGCAAACCACACTTCTCCCTTGCAGCTACCCCCTACATTTCCAGATTAGTCCTGTAGTCCTACTTGTGATTAAAATTGTCAGGGTTTTCTACAGAACCTCTTCTTTCTTCTTAAAATTAAATAAATAAAAACCCTAAATCGGTGACGTAGGCACAAAAGAGAAAAAGGCACACGGAAATAGCCTTAATAGGCTGCAAGCTACAGATAAAATCCTAAAGGTAAAATTCCAGACATCCATTCTGCATTTAGAAATGCATTGTGTTTAATTTCAAAATAAAACTTCACTCATTTTTCCACCCTGATATACCAACTTTGTATTAATCAAGAACTAAGTTATATGAAGCCAGACACAATTGAAATTAATGGTTAGATGCTTCATTTATTCTTTAATGTTAAGTTGTTTAACTCCTGTCTTTTGTAACCTAACTGGAACATTTAAACTACATAAATAATTGAACAACGATTCTTTTAGAGGCCAGTAATATTTAGGAGACAAACGTGCATATGTATTTTATTTTAAATTCCACTAAACCAAGAAATTTAGGTATTCAAATAGTTAGCATTTTTTATTATATAGCAAAATGCTAGAAGTGCCTCTTCAAAACCTTTTTAGAATGCAATGGTATCACCATAATACAAAGAAAAGTGACTCTTTGTTTTATTACTACTATCTAACATATTTAGTTCAGCACAAACACATTAGGTCTTTGAGAGACAATGTCTGTCCAATGGAAAACTGAGTATCAAGGAGCAATGACAGAAATAATGAGGAAGATAAAGTCTTGGGCACTGCAAAGATCTTCATATACTCAAAAAGCCACACTAGCAGATTTTGATCTCTTTCAGAATGTGCCAGAAGATATCATCATGCATTTCTAAGACCTTATCAGAATCAGTTGAGATTGATAAAAGTAGAAGAGTTCTGGTATCTGCATCACATTAAAAAAGAAATGTAGGTGTTTGTGCAAAGAGTTTCTGATATCTGGCATAGTCTGTATGTAGACACTTAATATATCAATGCTTGTAATGTGTAGTGACTGAAATACTGAAGCAAATTACCTGTCTGTTATCAGAGCTGGTCTTATGGGATACTTCTTGCCCTTCCCCATTCTGATGAACCAAAATGCCATTCTGCTTGATGTAAACACATTGCCTGAATTTGAATCTGGAATTATCATCACTTCATAGCTGTGTAACCTTGGACTAGTTTCTTAAACTGTTTTTAATCATCTATAAAATGGACTAATTGTCTATACTTCAGTTGTATTAATAGATCCATGTAAGCAGCATATAAATATTAATTACTATTATTAGTTTCTTGTTTATAGTTAGCTGATGGCATTTTATCATCAAACATATAGAATATTTATTGGAAGGTAATTCACCTTGAACTTCTTCCTTAATAAATTAAATACATCATTGACCAGAAATAATAGCTTAGCTTTTAGCATTTATTTGTTGGTGTGTATTTTCAAGTTGCTTTACAAAAGCTTCAAGGAATCAGGCTAAATAATTGCTGACTAAATGATATACCAATTAAGAAATTACATTTTTTCTGTTCCCTCACCCTCCCCAAGTGTTCTAGCTGGGCTCCATTTCTAACAATTCTAGTTTCCCTTTTTAAGTACCTCTGGTGTAGCATCCTTATCAAAACCAAATCTTGGGCTGGGGTTGTGGCTTAGTAGTAGTGTGCCTGCCTGGTATGTGTGAGACACTGGGTTCAATCCTCAGCACCACATAAAAATAAATAAAGTATTGTGCCCATCTATAATTTAAAAAAAGTTGATAAAACTCCATTTTTTCAAGTAAAATAGATGTGTGTTTAGCATCTGGATTACTTTCTAGTTCATATTGTTTTACTAGTTTAAACTTTAATCCATTTATATTTGTCCAAATGATTAATCATGATATTTCTATTAGAGCACTTTATAGTGAACACACTGATTTTTTATTTTTTGCTTTAAAAATATGGCCTACAAAGTATATACCATCTTTCATCAAAAAGTAACCCGAAAACTGATGTACTATCATCATTAATTACAGATAAAATACTTTCCCATCCTTATGCTAATCACTAGCATTCTCTTCAGAGCAAATTTCTTTTTCAATTCAGAATTCAATTTCATTGCTGTGTTTTACTACTATTGAGGATTATACAATTATTTTGATCATATACTATACCATCTTACATAGAACAGGTCTGGTTTATGCCTTTTATCTGGGTGTATTCAGAGACCTTACTTTATTTATCAGAAGTGTCAGGTTTGGGCATTAAATCATATAGCTCCTCCAACCTTCTAAGTATCTGACCATACAATATCTTTTGACTCAGTCTTTGCTTGCTTTGTCTGCCCTATGACTCTTAAATTTATTTGTATAACTTTTCCAGGATAGGACTGATCAATTATAGAAATTTATTACATATATCTTTGTAAATTATAGTATACTTACAAAATATTAAATTTCCTTAATTTGCTTGTAAGCATACCTCTTATTCATTTTTGTTTTGATACGAGGAATTGAACCCAGGGGCATTTAACCACCAAGTTATATCCCCATCCTTTTAATATTTTTTATTTTGAAATGGGGTCTTGCTAAGAGGCATGGCATCTTGATAAGTTGTTCAGGCTGGCCTTGAGCTTGCAATCCTCCTGCCTCAGTCTCCTAAGCTGTGGGGTTAGAGGCATGTGCCACCACACCCAACTATTTTTAAATAGAAGAAAGATCAGTGGAGTAGACAAAGGAGAATGAATGGAATAGGGAAAGGCACTGGAATGAATGTGACCTAATTTTCCTATGTATGTATGTGAATATACCACAGTGAATCTCAACATTTACAACACACTAAAAAAAAAAAAATAGCAGAAAGATCAGTAGACTATAGGGAAGAAAGAGGGAGGAGGGGAGGAAAAGGAGATTTACTGGGGACTGAATTCGAGTAAATTATATTCCGTGCTTTTAGAATTATGCCAAAATGAATCATAATGTTACGTATAATTAGAACCAATAAAAGTTTCCTGTTTTTGTCTATAAATTCTGATTTTAATTATTGTTATACAATATTAAAAAAAAAATCCTAGCCTTGGTTTTGACTAAAGCTCCAAGAAAAAGAGGTGCCAACATCCATATTTCAAAGAGTTTTCAGTCTGCTTGTATTGAATTTGAGTTGGGGTATCTTTAAACCATGTGGAATGTAAGAGTCATAGTATAACAAGTAGAGAGGGGAAGGACACTGGAGTATGGAGAATTTTCTATGTGCTCTAATGGGGCAGATACAGGCTAGAATGAATGTGCTGCTGCTATAGGGAAATCACCCCTGTGTTGCCCTGGAATTAGGGGATGTAGTGGGCTGCTTTTTAATTCACAACAGAGAAAACAAAGTGTTGTTGCTTAGTTTGCCTCTCAGAGGCTGGAGGGAAGAGGCTTTTGGCAGGTAAATGGAGGGTTTCTTTTACACTTCTTGTGGAGAGAGTAAGCGTGGAGAAGGAGACACATTTTCTTAGCTCCTACCTGGAAGGGATTAATGAGAATCTGTGGATTCCATAGATGTCTCGGGAGGGTACAGGGCTGTGGTAGCGGAACCTTGAGGTTGTGCTCTGCACAAAGGTGCCTGGCTATCAGAGAAGTAAAGGAGAGCTATTCTGTGGAGCGGTATCAACCTGGGGGAGGGCATCTGTTTGTACTCCATCAATCTGGTGCGATGGCTTTTTAAAAAATTCACATAATTGATGGTAAGAGAAGCCTGAAGGTGAAGTGGGGAGGGCAGTAGTAAGTCGCCAGTCATGAATGCTTCATCAGAATTGGGTCAGATTCTGCAGTGAGAGATCCCAGGAGCCTTAGGGTCTTCAGAGGATGGACTAAATTGGCATCTGCAAAGTCAGTGTTGAAAACTGCTCAGCCCAGGGAAAAGCAATGCTAGACAAACGAGAGTTTCTTTGTCCCTTCATACTTGGTCTTTGACCTCTACTACTAAGAGTTCAAAAGTTCCAGCCTATGATTTAAGGTAAAGAGGGAATGAGGACAGAAGAGACTGTTGGCTCCAATTGTGGGCTTCCCTCCTGATGCTCCCCAGGTTGAGTGAGGGGCACAG